TACGCTACTCTTGAGGACAAAGGAAAGTTTTCTTCCCTCAAGATGATCACAGATGACCTGGACGACCCTGAAATCCAGCTGTTTGAGCACGTGGACTTTCAAGGAAGAAGTGTGACCCTATACAAAGAAACCAATCTTCACAACATTGATTTCAGTGACACCGCTTCTTCCCACAAAGTGAAAAGTGGTGTCTGGGTGCTCCACGAGCACGTCAATCATCAGGGTGACCAGCTTGTGTCTTTCCCTGGGGATGAAGTTCCCAGCTATCTTCCGCTCTCCTTCAGCGATGTGGCCAGCCATGTGCATCCCTTGCTGCCGAAGCCATAGACAGCATCATTCAAAGTACACTCTCTGCAGCTGAATATAAACTGGAACCCGTCTGGGAAGAACAAGGCAGGTGGTGGGGAATGACTGATCTTGACAAGAAACAATGACTGTGACTCCAATAAGTCTGAAAAAACTTCATGCAATTTAATGCAACCTTATCGATTACAGATATCTGTCTGAAGACATTCAGTGTATGCTAATTTGGCAAGTGTTCTATAACAGTGATGGAATTTTTTTTATTTAACATTTTAAGTTGCTTTGGCTATTCATCTATAGTGATCAGTGGCAGTAAACATGCAATAAAGTACAGCTTTGGAATTGTAACGCTCTCTGTTTCTTGAATTCTCATTTGCCTTTTTACAATAGTTTTTCAAAGTTATCCCTCTATTACATGTACCACCGTCCATGTAATCCTTTACAGTCACTGACCAATGATGCACTTTTAATACCTTTCATGGCAGTTTGTTTTTCTAAACATAGTTGAGATTTTAATTTGCCCCTATATTCTGGGGTGAAACTGATATGGAATAAGATGGATATTTGTGCATTGTGGTGAAGATTTAGCTTTAGTTTAAATTAAATAGTCATTGTAATATCTCTCTGCAGCCACATGTGTCATTAAAGAATTTAGGTCATTAAAGAAATACTTAATCGAACATGGTTTAGATTAGAATGACATGAGGAGTCTGTAAAAACAGAAATTTAAGTAAAGACTTTTCTTCTGTGGAAAACAATTAAAGGTATTTTGAACAGTATCTCAGCTGTTCTTGTTTTTGTCTGTATAATTAAAGTCCATGGACAGATTCATACCTTTTAAAATCCAAAAACAAGAATAGAAATTTTTTTTTTTTGGTGAATTATCCGTAAAAGCTTTGTTTGTCTTCGGAACACAATTTAAGATATTTTGGATGAAAACCGGGAGGCTTGTGACTGTCCGATTGACTGCCAAGTAAATTACACTGTCAAGGTCCAGAAAAGTATGAAAGACATCGTCAGAATAGTCCATCTGCCATCAGTGGTTCAACCGTAACGTTATGAAGCGACGAGAATACTTTAAAATCAAAGCGTAAATACACGTAGAAAACAAATCCTTCTGGCGCGGCTGACACAGAAGAGCGTACGCTGCTTGCATTCAGCTCATATTCTCCAAAATGGCACTACGGTGATGTGGAGAGAGACAGAGGAGACAAATTGTTGAATAAAGTCGTTATTTTTGTTTTATTCGCGTACAAAAAGTATTCTTGTCGCTTCATAAAGTTACGGTTGAACCACTGATGGCAGCTGGACTATTCTGACGATGCTTTTCATACTTTTCTGGACCTTGACAGTGTAAGTTACTTGGCAGTCTATGGGACAGTCACAAGCCTCCCGGTTTTCATCCAAAATATCTTAAATTGTCTTCCGAAGACGAACGAAGCTTTTACGGGTTTGGAACGACATGGAGGTAAGTGATTAATGACTAAATTTTCATTTTGGGGTGGAGTATCCCTTTAAATACTACACTAATTGTAATTGTAAAAATAAATTTTAAGTCACTAATGGACCATAATTATTACACAAATAGTTTTTAGCACCAAAAGATCTCCTCAAAATATTAAACATATTACTGAACTAAAATATAGGACATTTATTAAGCTGAAAAATAGTAAAGGTGTATAGTCACATTATAAGTAAGTAGGGTTGTAACGCTATACTGGTACGACGGTTTATCACGGTTTGAACGTGCATGGTTATCATACCGTAAACATTTTAATATCTATGGTTTAAAAAAATGAATGAAAAAAAAATCTCACCATTGCTAGCTGCTTCTGCATTCACTTGGCTGCTTACACGCACTTACAGCAGAGAAAATGACAGAGACAGAGATTATATCTAATCTCTATCCCCGTTGAAAAAAAATGTAATCTGCAGTATGGGAATACTTCGGATATAAAACAAAAACGAACGCGGGGTTGTCCTTGACGACGGATTCAATTTGCAAAAAAATGTGGACACAAAGTGGCTGCAATTAAAGCAGGCAATAAATCCGACATGTTCGCTCATATTTGCTGACACCATCTCTCCGTGCAGATGAAGGTGTGTCGTATTTATAACAAGTTATAAACTAAGGTCGTATGATTTCCGTGATGCAGAGGGAATCTTGGTGCAGTCGTGAACATGGAATTTACAGTATAACGCGGATGTCACGTAAAAAATGCACTCTAATGGATGGATAAATAAAAAGTAGATATGATATGTGTCTGTAAATATTTCTGCACATAGAGACTGCTATATAAATAATCTGCTTGTTTCTGCATGTCTCTGAGTGGGATGCACTTTTTTCCAGGGGTTTCAGAACAGCGTAACACCGTGTCTACACCGGATGCGAGCGGCGCGGCGCGACAAAACACTATAGACCTCATTATAATCAGTGATGCTGGATGTGGCGCGACACGACAAATCCCGACAGAAAACTGTTGCTGCGTTCTATTTATTGACACAAATTTCAAATGATTTTCAACAGTCGCTTTGTCGCTTCCAGTGTATACAGACTTTAGCTGTTGCATCCGGTGTAGACACGGTGTAATCGAAACTGTGTCATCAGGCAGGCGTGGCCTATTTGAGAATCTGCACAGGTCATCAATCATGTGCAGCTGGGGAAAAGCCATTTACTTCAAATACCTGATCGCAGGGGTTTTGTGTCAAATGCCTTTTATATTCATATACAGTAACTTCAGATACCTGTCCTGATCACAGTGGTTTTGTGTCCAATACCTTTTATATTCATATACAGTAACTTCAGATACCTGTCCTGATCACAGTGGTTTTGTGTCCAATACCTTTTATATTCATATACAGTAACTTCAGATAACGGTCCTGATCGCAGGGGTTTTGTGTCAAATACCTTTTATATTATGTACAGTAACTTCAGATACCTGTCCTGATCGCAGGTGTTTTGTGTCAAATACCTTTTATATTATACACAGTAACTTCAGTTCCCTTTCGGTACTTCACTCGTACAGCGTCGCTAGACGCTATGGGGAAAAACTCCTTTTTCTCCGAGGACTGAAGCCTCTGGGCAAGCCCCACGCAGAAGCATACTGTAATCATATACTTACCCTCAAATTGTTCTAAACCTCTATGCATTTTTTTTTTCTCTTAAACATAAAAGAAGATATTTTGAAAATGATCGCAACCAATTTCTAGTCCCCATTGACTCCAATAGTGTACTTTTTCCTATATGGAAGTCATGAGGGCCCAGCAACTGTTTGGTTACCAATATTGTTCCAAATATATTCTTTTGTGTTCAACAGCAGAAGGAATCACATACAGGTTTAGAACATCAACAGAATTGTCATTTTTGGGTGATCTATTCCTCTAAAGCAGCCTAATATAGCTGTTGTTGCCGTTTGTGTCAATAATGTAAATCAAACATCAGAAAGAAAATCACTTACTGTCTTTGACTGAATAACTTTTGTAAAATAAATAAGAATGAATGTATATTGAATTTATACAGTGAAGACTATTCAGCCTATTTGCACATTTTCTTTATACAATATAATATTTATTATTCAGTGCTTTAAGTTTTTTTTTTAAGTAGGCCAATTTTTTTATTATCTTTGTTCTGTTGTAGCCTAATTTGTGACTGTTTACTTGTCTTCAGTAAGCTTATTTTTACTTAGGCTTGTATTATTTTTTGTGATATTGAAATTGGTAACAAACATTTCAGTGCATCAAGAATTTTGATATGGGACAAAAATCATATTTTAAGCTTTTTGTATATATATATATATATATATATATATATATCATTATGAGCTCCTTTCAGGAACTCAAGGTCATCTCTCCGGGATTCTCCAGACAAGCCTTCGCAAAGCTGCTGGACTATCGCACTAAGACTGGAGGAAGAGTAAGTGTAATTGTTTTACCATATTATCTGATTGCTTTCCATAAGCAGACCTCATCACATACACCATTTCATTCTATATATCTTCCAGTCTGGACATATCAACGGCGATACACTACAGCGCAGCTTCTTAGAGTTTTCATATGCTTGATTTGAAGAAGACCAGCTCTGCTGTGGTGCTCCTTTCACCTGCCCAGCCTGCACGCCGGAAATCTGGGCTGTTTCAGCCGATGGAAACAGAAAGCTATATCGCTTTCGCCGAGACACAAGGTGGTCTTTTGTTTCAGTCTTTTTATTGATTTATTCATTTACTTTATATATTTAATGGATGTATTTCCTATTTTTCTTTCTTCCTCAGCTCTGATGATCCTGCCTTTTTTGAGGGGCTCTTTGTGGCTGAAGACGTTGTGGTGTCTAGATTTGTGGAAACCATACAGAAAGCAGTGAGAAATGCAAGTTTCAATCATAACTTGACCAAAAAGTTGTTACAAAAAGAACCATATACTGTATGTCCGACCTTGATTTCTTCCCCTCTTCAACTACTACTCCAAAATCAAACTGAGAGAAATGCCATTGCTTTTCTTTGATTTGTTGTGTTTGTTATGTGTGTCATAGACAGGGAAAGGGCACATGTGGGGTCTCCCGGTGGACAGCAGCGAGGGAGACATCAAGGAGGGCTTGCATAATTATTTCTTGTACAGATTGTAAAGCCCTTTGAGGCAAATTGTGATTTGTGATATTGGGCTATGTGATTGAATTTCTTTCACCCATTTACTAATAGATTAAATGGAGTGGTAGGAACCAGGAAGGAGCAGGGACAACCGCCGGTGAGGAGGTCGAGCAAGTGAACAGCTACCTCTCACGTTGTGCCCTGACAACCAAATATATGTCCAAAGCAGGTAATCAGATTGTTTGCAATATTCTTTTTTTATTATTATTCTATTTATTTATTTTTTTTAGATTAAGCATCATAACCTTATTATTTGCTTTAAACAGCACGGGTGGACATGCTTACATTGCATGCAATGGGGTGGAACCACAAAAAACGTCTCTCTCTACATCAGTCACTTTCAACAAGATATGTGAAGGTAAGTCTCCTATTAATTGTTTTATGTGTCATTTTGTTGTGTGCACTTGGCCTGTTTTTAACCGTACTAAGTCTTGATTATTGTATAACACTGTTTCTCAGACTTGTCAGAGACTCCGGGATGAAACGGCAAGGCTAGCTGAACTAAAAACAGAGTTACTTTGCAAAGATGAAGTGCTGTCACAGTGGCTTCTGATGTGAAGGAATGGGCAGCTGGCGGTAAGCATGACCAGAT